GAAAGTTTAAAAAATACCCATAAACCTACAATCTGAGTTAACCTTGGTTCATATTTTAATCAGGCTTTTTGTGTCTGTATACATTTTTTTTCCCACAAAAATGAGATAGAATGAATCATATTTTTTAACTGCTTCTTTTCACTTAGCAAGATACCAAACTATTATTTAAGCCACACTTTTTTCAGAGGTTGCGAAGTCTTTGAGATTTGAGATAGTGTAAACATTGCTTTTATATTAAAAATATTTCATACAAGGAACTTGCTTCTTATTTAGAAAACTTACAGCACACTGGTTAAGCACAAAGCTGTGGAGTCAAACCTCAGCTTCAAACCCTGGCTCTTCTGTTACTGGCTTGTGACCATGGACAAGTTAATTACCTTCTCTGTGCCCATTTCTTTACCAATAAAGTGAGGATACTAATAGTACCTGTTTCATGGGGTTTTTGGAGAGGTGAGTTAAATGCCTGTGATTAAAACTGTGCCTTACATACAGCAAGCATTATGTAGGTATTAGCTAATATAATTATTATTAAGCTCTGGTGGCATAGTGCCTAAGGCATTTGACTGCTAACCAGAAGGCTGGTGGGTCAAACCCACCAGCCACTCCTCGGAAGGAAGACTGGGCAATCTACTTCCGTAGAGATACCACCTTAGGCACTATGCCACCAGAGCTCCTCCATTAATATTAGCCACCATTATAATCATCATCATTATCTACTCTTTAACATAACTTGCAAGAAGGATTCTAAAAGTGTTCTAGAGGCACTTCAAGGGAAAAGATTTGTTGTTGAGTAACTGTCTTAGATAACACTTGGGCAGAAGTAGATTCCCTACTCCATATCATAAAGCAAAATAAGATCTAGAATGGTATTAGAGTTAAAGCATAACACACTAAAATATACTTGAATATGTTTTAAATCATAGAATGAGGAAGACTTTTCTAAGCATGACCCTAAAGCCATAAAATATCAAAGAAAATATCAATAGACTTGACAATTTGCTGTTGTTGTTGTTAGGTGCCATCGAGTCGGTTTTGACTCATAGTGATCCCGTGTGCCCCTTAGGGTTTTCTACGGTATAATCTAGACAGGAGCACGTTGCCAGGTCTTTCTCCCACTGAGCCACTAGGTAGGTTTGAACTGCCAGCCTTTTGTTAGTAGCTGAGCACTTACCCATTGTGCCACCTGGGCTCTTAGACTTGACAATACGTACATAAAAAATCTTGTCCTATAAAAACAATGCCATGTTGTGGTAAATTGTAGTCAATCTCATGAGACAAAGTGTGTGTGAACTGCTGTATGGAAAGTGAATTTGCTCTGTAAATTTTCACCCAAATCACAATATAAATACATAAAAATAAAACTACTGTAAAAAAAAAAAAATGCCATGAACAAAAGTCCATCTTGAGATGGCTTTCTGCCACTGGGATGATCATTGTATGAACTTCTTTGAAAGTGAGAGAAGGTCCTGAGAGCTCTTTTCTAGTGGTCATCATAGCAGGGTATATTGATTTACTAATTAGGCCATGATTTCACCTTATTTGCAGTAAAAGTGGCATCTGCCTATCCTGCTGAGTAATCCAGCCTGATAACTGAGGATGGATTTATTCAGCCTTCACTACAAGGGAGTTCCCTGTGGTTAGATAAACTGATCTGTTGCTTGGTAACTACAGGATTACTACTGTGGATGCTCAAGAAGCCAGTGTGACAGGGGTTTGGGTATTTGGAGGGCAAATAGGGCAAAAAAGTTGGCAAGTTTCTGGGAAACTGCAGCTTGGCATCACATGTTTAGGGTTAGAACATTTCATCTCCCATCTGTACTTTTTCTTTTCAGGCCTGGGCCTTAGAACAAAGGGAAAAGAGACAGTGTGCTGACCAAGGGAAAAGAAAAGTCCCATTGGGGTGGCTGTTATGACAGCATATGAAACCCCCATAGTGCTGACCCCAAGGTTCTCCATCCCAGGAATAGGTCTGAGTCTGTAAAATGTAAGCATAAGGATACTCTGAGTTAGTGGACTGCTGGGTTTTGAGTCCTTAGTTGAAAGTACATTAACGAGAATAAAATTGGTAGAATACCTAGGAAATGTTGAGATCATAACCTTAAGGCAAGACCTGCTCTCTAATGGCATTCCCTACAGCAATGTGGACTCAAAGACCCATAATAAATACTCCTGTTTTTCTATTTAGTGGCACAGTATATTCACTAGGGATTAATCTTCCACCATGTTTGCCTTTGTAGGGATAGAACTTGGGTAACTGTGGGAGTGGACTGACTGGCTGTGTGTGTACAGACGGACATTTGTGTCTGTATATTACATACATAGATGTTGTCTTTCGTGCCCATCTCAGCCAGTCTAGTGGATTACCAGACTGAGAGCACAGAAACACTGCCTGGCCGCCTTTGGCTGGAAGAATGATGGTACCAAAGCCTGTGCTATCTCTGTAGGCAATTAGGGTATCAATCACCAAGATAAAATTCTAGTTATTTATTTTGCTTTAGCAGTGGCAGGAGCCATCATTGAAAGTGCTAAGAGCTGATGCTAGGAGAGAATATTTTAACTGAAATTTTGCATATTTTGAAACTCTGGTTGTTACATTTAAAATTATACACATTGTGAGTACCTGGCTTCAAACAAGAGGGAAGAAAAAGCATTCCTTCCTGTCAGAACCTTTTCACTCTGTCTGTCACGAAACCCAACTAAAAATAAACTATAAGCACACAGAACTGGCAGCCATCAGTTTGGAACAAATTTAGTGCTCTCAACTGCAGGGCCCACCTCCTGCAGCTTCCAAACCACACATCAGCCCTCTGAGCTGGCTCTCTTCCCAGGACACCAGTGCTCACAGCCCATGTGGGGACAGGGTCCAGGGAACTAGGAGCATTATTTTTTAGGGGATGGTGAGTGCCATCTAAAGAGCCCTGCTCAGCTTCAAGGGCCCCAGAGTCAGTTGTCTTGTGTATGGCCTTGTGGGAAATGCATATTTGGACCTTAGTTTCCTCATTTCTCACTGTGATTGATGGCAAACCACATGCTAACTGGCACTTTTTGTGTTATTTCATGTAATCTTTATGAAACTTGATGAGCTTAAAGTATCATCTTCATTTTTCAGATGAGGAAAGTGAGGCACAGAGAGCCTGTGTCACTCATCCATTGTCGTACAGCTCATGAGTGACAGCTGAGTTCTTTACTCTTCAGCTCTACACTCTACACCCCTACCTCCTTACCCTCCATTAATCCAGCTTCTGCCCCAGTGGTTCTGCTGAAATGACTCCTTATGAGGCCACAAAGGTTCCGCTGTTTCTGATCATGGTCACTATTCACCCTGTATCCTGCTGGACCTTCTTACTGTACCTGATACTGTAGAGTGTTCTCTCCTTGACAGGAAGCCTGGTGGGAAGAGTGTGGGCTTGGGAGTCATGTTTTGCATTTTGGCTTATTAGCTTTGTGATCTTGGGCAGGTTACTTATACTCCTTGAGTCTATAGTTTCCTTGTCCATAAAATGAAGATAATAATAGTACCCACCTCATCAAGTGAGGATTAATGAGGTAATGTACATAAATCATTTTGCACAGGGCCCAAAAAGTACTTACTTCCCTTTATATTTCTAATCTTCTCATTTAACCTGGTCCCTGACACACATGTACCTTATAAACTCCCAGCCCTTAAATATTATGTCCTGATTATCCCCTTGCCTCAAGTCTTCTTTTTTCCAGCAAAGGTTGACTTTGTGCTTCTTTATGCATGTTACAGTAGAAAATCTTGTTAACTGTAAGTGTGGATTTAGCTTCACCATTACTTGAATCCCATCCTCTGGAATGTAATTATAAATAGGTATTATTGCTTTAACATAGTTATGATGCTAGAACAGGATTATGCACTCTTTCATTTTCAGTTAACAGTACAGGTATTAGTCTTGTTTCTAATTCTTGGATTTAAAGAAGTCCCATTATATTTATTTTTACCACAAGCTTGGTCCAGTTTCTCCTCCAGATCATTACAGAAAGAAAATCTTGTGAACTTTAAGTAGTAGAGGCTACATCTGCCTGTGTCAGAACCCTAAGACGCTGCCATTTTGGTGTTGAAGGAATTACCAATATGGTGATAGGCATGTAGTATGGATGGTTCTTGTTTTGTTGTTTAGGGTACAATCCTGTTTGAAGCAGCATTATTTTACTCTTCAATTTTCATAATCATTTTTTCTATGTATTACTGAGCATCTACAAATTTCCTCCTCTGATCTTCTGATCAGATGGTAAGATTTCTTGCTGTCTTCTGAAAACAGTTACTGTGATTCAGCAGCTGAAATTGATTTTCACCCGTTAGCATTCTCCATGAGGATTACTGTCAGGAGAGACCCCTCACGCACACAGGTCTCTGCATGCTGAGGAAAGTTGCAGTTCTAGCCTCAGTGTGGACATTGATCACTCTGGATTTGGGTTTTGCAGGGTCAGAAATGTTTTTAGTCGATGCGATGTCTGTGGTGAACACCCTCAGCCGTGATTGTTTGGACCCAGCCAGGCATCCCTCTGTTCCTGGGGAGTCCAGGGGCCAGCAGTTTCTCATAAGGAGGCCTATTGCTTTGAACTACGCTAGGGTGACTGGAGAACTGTCTAAATTCTGTCCTTGCTGAGTGTTGTGGTGTTTTCGGGCCGGTTTGCTTCCCCCATCCTTTGGCAAACTCCTGTATCATCCACGTCATTTGCCATCAGAGCATCAGTGCGTGTCATCCTTTTTTCTCCCCATGAAAACAATACAGAACAAAGCCTCACTTTTAAAAATGCCATGGTATTTCGCCACCATTCTGAAAATCTGTCAGCATGATATCTAATCTTCTGGTGTATAGAATATCAAAATAGCACTATAGAGGGGATTGTACTTCCATTAATACAAAAATGTCAGTTGCACACTCTCGGAACCAGCCACTATCAGCCTCTTTCCAAATGGGAAAGAAAAAAAAATAATAAAGTTTCTTTTCCCCTCTGTTGTCACTGTTCTTTAGGCCTGACCTTCATAGGAAGACGCAGAGGAAACACTGCCTTGCTGAAATCTTGCGTTCAGAATACTCAAGCGGGGTAGAGGCTAGCATCGCCAAGGTCAAAAAGCAGAACAAACGTGGAAAACCCGGCAGCCAGCCACAGCAGAGCAGAACTGCAGGCCTGCGCCCAGCCTTTGTCATGGGAAAAAAATAAAAACTTTCTCCATAAAATGTGGGAAAGTGAGCTCACTGAGGGAGAGCAAGACTTACCAGAAAGTTTTTTTACACTCTGTCTCTACAAGACTGGGCCTGGGAGTGGCTCCTGGCGGCCTTCCTGAGTGAACACTGGATTGGTGTCTTGTTGTTGTCAAGGGAGCCCTGTGAAAAACAACTGCAATGCCTTTTGCTGAATACTGTGTCCCTCAGACTATTGTAGGTGGAGGCTTTATCTTTGGCGGTGGAGGGTGTTCTCCTGGTAGAAATCAGTGGAGGTGGGATCATCCAATTAACTTATGTAAGATATTTTATACCTTATATTTATTCCATCAGTGCCAGGTGCTGGCTTGCCATAGATCAAATTGTGCCCTCACCACTCTGTCAAAGTGTAACATGCTCTGTCCTATAAGGGGTCTGTTCCTGCCCTGTGACAATGTCTTTAAAGAAGCTTCGGGATTTTACTTTAGCATTATCGATGCTTATAGTTGGCATGAATTTGTAAAATAAAGTTTTAAAAATTGGAATTGTATTTATATGAAGAGAGAAAAATATGTTCATCATATAATCATTTTCTTTATATACAAATGCTTCAAGAAAAGAACCGAAAGAGTTTTGGATACAAGTCAAAAACCCTAAAATCTTTTATTCTGTGAGCCAATTTATGTTCTGTAAGTATGTTGCTATAATCGTCTGTCCCATTTACATGCATTGCTCCCTTTTTCATTCCCATTGAAAATTTATTCTCTTGGGGCTAATTGATTTACTGTTGCCTTTTTATTATTTGCCTTTGAAGTCAAAAGGCACCGGTGCCCTGAATTTTTTTTTTTTTCTTTTTTTACCCCCATCAAATCTCATCTTCTAGAAGAGTCTAGGGAGTCTTTGTACTGTGACCCAGGTCACAACTGCCCTCCTCCCCATTGTGTTTCCTGGGAAGTTTGAAAGGAGACCCCTGGGGTGTATCGATTTCCCAATAAATGTAAGATTTGGACATGGGCAACTCCAAGGCATCCAAAAGAGAAAGGGTTAAAAGCCTCAGCCCCTCTGCTTAGAACTTGCTCTTGTTCTCTTCACTATTTCTTTTCCTCGGCTTTTCCTTTTTCCTCTGTCACCCCTTGCATTCCTGTGACAGTGTGTTGGTGCAGCACTTCAGAAGACACTCCAGATAAAACTGAACCAAATTTCCAGGAGAGGATGGGGAGATTGGCACAACAGGCCTTTCCATAGTGACCAAGGAGGGGTCAGCGTCCTTGCCTCCATTCCCTCTCTGGTCATAGGCATGCAGACTCAAGGCAAATGTCAGCTAAAAAGCACACTAGGACGGACTGGGGTGAGGGTGGCTGTAAGCCTGCTAAGAATTGATCTTCTGCATGAGGAAAAATAGGAGCTGCTTAGAAATGGCTGTCACATATGAATTAATAGGGACAATTGGTGAAATTTGTAACAATAATAAAAACAACCCTACAGCAGATGTCAAGCTGGCTTTGGGCAAATCTGCTGCCTTTCTTTTATTTTGATGTGTAATGGTTCACATTGATTTGGATGAGAGAAAGAGGGATCAAACTTATAGACAAAACCCAACTGTGTGGGAAACAGGATTAATGCCAGTGATTTGGGGTGATCAAAGAAAGAAACCTACTTTTTTTTTTTTTCCCAGAGTACTCATTCCATTAAAGGATATATCAGCAAAGTTCTGCATTCCTAGGGGGAGAAATGCTAGAATCTTGCCAAGTGTGTAAGTGACTGTAATTCCAAGATCAAAACTTAAACTTAATTTGCTGATACTTAGGTGAGGGTTTCTTGCCATAGATGCTAGGTGGGCTTGTTTTTAAGTAGAATGAATATATTAACCCAGCTAATAAAGAAATATGGATTTAGTCGATTTAGGGTTAATATTATCTAAATTTAAATAACCTTAAAAATAAATCTCCTCCTTAGCCATAGCTCTTGACAGATGTGTATTTTAAGCATCAATTAGTCAAAGCTTTAGCCTAATTCCACTGTACATATTCTAATTTTGTGTGTATTTTTAATCATACCTCTTTTTCTAATATCCCAAATTTATCCATTTCTATGTCATACACTTGATTCCCATCTCTAAAGTCAAAGAGAATTTGGACATTTAGTGTAACGTTACAGTCTAAGCTTTTCCCCCAGTGAGCTTGAAGAATGCCTTTTGTTAATCCAAAGCATCTTCATGTTTGCAACCCTGAAGTGTTGCCTGTCTTCAGAAGGGCCCCCGTTCTCACACACTGAAGGTCACAAAGCCCTTGATGATCGAGGTTTCTGTGTGTGATCCAGTTAAGTCAGGACTAATGCAGCACACATGCATCTCCTGCTCCTGCAGAAGCAGAGCCACCAAATCGCAGCAAAGGACTTTTTTTGACAAACCCAGTGGATT